AACCCTCCCTGCCGCGGTCCACCGAGCTACCACAGCAGCACTCAACGCCTTCAGATGCTCAACAAACGGTCCATTTCGTTCCCGGTTGCGAGCAACTTCCCACTGATGGTAAAGAGTAGCATGCTAATACATACCTTGTGAGATGGAATATGAAACTTGCGCTAAACTGCTTACCTGCAACCGTGTTTCTTTTACCTTCTTCATACTCTCCAGCCAAGCAACTCGCTCTTCGTCGGTTTCAAGTGCATTGAACTCAGCTTGATACATCACCGCTGTGGAGGATTGCACAGCGTAATAATCATTATAGTGGAGATCTCGGGGCAGTTTGAGGAATTCTAGATTAATTGGTCGTTGAATGATGATAATGAAAATGAAGAAGCGACTCGGACTGACCACCTCCAGGAATTTCCTCGCATGGAATCACATTCGCTACAAGATCATCTATTTTCAATGATTTTTTCGCCTTGTCCAGAGTGGTGAGCCTGTATCCCAGGTTCCTCGTGTGTTAAATAATATACCCAGATAAACAAGCTGTAATACACACAGTTTTGAAGCACAGGTTTTGCAACATCTCATTCGCAAGACCCAAAACACCCTTCTACCGCGATGAGAATGTGGCCTAGGCTTCCCCAAGCAATTCTACATAACACGAGTTTTGGCTATCTGCTACAATGATCGGATACTGAAAACTCACATGGCAGTAAGCGTTGAAGAAAACCAAGTGGGCATATTGTGGTTCGCTCAAATCATCGGGAGGAGGCGGGAGACCCACGTTTGACCTGGCAATACGCCAAATGCTCTCGGAGGATTTGCGTAGCAGAACGTTCCGTAGATTCTTCAAGCTGCGGGCAAGTTGAAGCAGGTCGCCTGGTTCAAGGTGCATAAAGACCTGATGTGTATACTTCAGAGTTGATCTACAGAAACCATAAGAACCTGCGCGCGCTCACCTCGAAGAAAATATCCAAAGGTGCGTCTTTCGCGAATTTCTCCAAGAGGCCAAACTTGCCTTTGACTTTCCTGAATTCCGCGGGCATTCTCTTCTTGCTCTTCGAGGCGGGCACGACAGTAAGTTGTCGATCAGTATCGGAAGGAATTTTCTTGGCTCTCTTCCTAACGTTCACTTCCGCTTCCGAGTTTTCGTCGAGTTCCTCGTCATGTTCGCTCCTAGGATGCTTCTGAGCACCAATATGCGGATTTTTCACAGAGGACGATTCATCTGAACCCTCTGTGTTGTTTCGCTTGCCTTCTGGCTGTACACAATGTCGAGTCATCGTTATGGGAAAGGCCAAGCAGGAGTAGGCGCTTATTGAGCGCTTGCCTCTAACAGACTCTCAGAGATCAAAGTCAGATCTTGCGAAACAACGACAACCTCCCTTGAAGGGACTGCTTTAGGCCTAGTCAACAAGGAAGAATGGATTGATGTTGCTTGTACTCAATAGACCTCGAAATCCAATTCTCCGACCAATTCTCCGACTGAGGTGGGATGAACATGCAGGTTGTCGCAATAAGCTGCCAGATATAATGCGGTACTGCATTGAAACCAGGGCTTGTATACCTGTTTTTTGTTTTTGACGAATATAACGCTTTCAAGATCCAGCTCTTAAAAACCAGAGAGAGCTGTACACCCACTGAGCCAGCATCGAAATTAATGAGGACAAATTTAATTGGCTATTTGACATTACAAGATATGGGTGCACAATTAAAGCTGGTAAAGTACAAGATATGGGCACACAATTTGAGCTACGTATACATCGGAGAAGGGTATAAATGCTCCACCATTTTTCGGTCGTGTTGTAACTCGATGAGTCGGAAACTCAAATCGGCCTCGGGGCGCCAAATGGTTTTGGTGACCCAGACATTCGGGGGATACGTGACTTCACCAATAGGCCCTGCCCAATCATAGTCAACAATCAGCACCTTCTTCCCTTGCGCATCAACAAAGATATTTGCAGGCCGTAAATCACCATGGACATATCCTGCTGCAAAGAAAGGTTCTAAAGCATGACGGATCATGGCCTTGACTTCTTCTCGACCAGTAATGTCATCAGCTCTCAGTTCACGAAAGAGATCATCCACCGCCACGAAGCCTCCGGGGATACGTTCCATCACTACCATTTTCCAACCTCCTTCAAGGTTATCACACGCCAGTAGTTTCGGTGCAAACCCAAGCTCATGAGCCTTCCGGTGCGCTGCTTCACCGTATTGACGAGTGAATTTGACATAAAGGACGTCATTATGCTCGGTCTTGACCTCAAAGACTAGACGAGCGGGGTCCACACGTTTGGCGTACGTGAACGAAGTGGTTTGCTTGGTATAGTCGAAGCTCCGAGGATAAGGAAAGGAGTACTGTACCGGATATGCAGGAGGAGGATCTCTGTACAGTTCGCCTACATCAGTGAAAAGGATACCAAGTGCCGTCAAGGTGCGCGCGAGGTCGAGCATCATATCCTCGTTTGAAGCTTGAAAGTACATGGGTATGGGAGCACTGAGAACTTCAGTTTGCGGACGATCAGCCATGACACCGCCAAAGACTTGGATGTTTGGACCTAAGGGTAACAGTTGGTCCATGGAAGCTACGAATTGACTGGTCCACTCACCTGCATGCGAAATCAAAATGGATGGTAACCTGGACTTCGTCCAAGCTGCTGCTTTTGCATTTCCATCAACGGCGTATTTGCGGACCAGACGCACATTCTCAAGATAGTGCAATGCGACCTGGAAAGTAGGGTCGCAATGGCCACACTGTTCTAGTTTGACCTCGATGATAAGTCTCGCCATCCCGTCCTCCCCAACTATCTCGTACATGACCGCACCGTCCGTAGTGTAATCGCCTATTTTCGCTTTGGGGATCACCAAACCAAGAAATTCACCGATTAGCTTGCGGAACTCGAATTCTCTGTAATCTTCATTGTCGTAGAAGGCACAAAGATCAACGGACATCTTTTTCGCAGATTTAAGAGCATTATCGGAGGGAGTGATAGTTCGGACGTTGGTCTGGAACGTTCCAAAGCATGGAACGAGCAATGCTATGGGAATCGGGACTTGATCAATGTTTCGTGGACGATCGCAGGTTATACGCGTTCCTTCGTGTTCTTGACTTGCAGCAAATTGAGCTGGTAGAGCGCCAGTTGAAGGTGCTTTGGATGTCCGTTCTGCAAAGTATTTCCCACCAGGCAAATCTGCCGACTCTCGTGGGGCTATGGTAGGAATCAGCGCCTGAGTTAACATTCTTATGGGTTACTTACGAAGTCTTCTGAGCTCTGCAGTCAAAAGCGCAACCAACTGAACCTCATTTTCATCGGGATCGTGGTCCAAAACGGTGTGCAATTGCCCATCGAACCACTGTTTCCAATCGTAATTAAAACGACCTCCCAATCGTTCCTTCACGACAGTTGGGTCGCCAGACTGGATAGGCGGATTGAGACACTGTAGAGTGTATCGCTTAAACAATCACTGGCAGGTAAAACGTTGACCGTACTTACGCAAAAAACGAAAGCATTGGTCTCCGTGTTAAACGCTGTCCGCAAGACCTTTGAAGCCGCGGTGCGAGTCAAGTCTAGTTTCAAAGCTACTTCCTCCTCAGCTTTCGTGATAATTCCATCGTCGTCAACGGAAAGAAGAACGTTCGCTTCCTTTTCGTTCATGGCACAAGATGAATGGTCACGTGTCATCCGACGATATGACGCAAGGCGGGCGTCTGTTATTGTTCTTTGCTTTTGTCTTTTTCGTCCGTGTTCCATCTCAGATTCATAATTGTTTTATTGTCTTTTCCTTGCTAATTGTTCAGAACATGCTTAACTGACAGATTTGACTCTTGCAGAACCTTCTTTTTCCCGTAAATTTTCATTTCACAAAAGGGAAAGTGCCTCTTCCCGAGGTCAAACGACGATTCTGCATAGATCTCTTTCACGCGTTATTGTCTTCTCTTGTTAACGCTCTACCATCTTCGAACGGACATGCTTGACTTCTTCTCAGGATCGCTTCAGGACTCTGAACGTATTTAAACGGTAATGTGCAAAGTCCAAGGTAACAGAAGCCTTCCGATCCAGTTTCGATCCCAAGTGCAGAACACTATACCTTGCTTCTTGCTTCTTGAGCTATAACTCACTCTCCTACATCCTTGATATCATGGCTTTCGGCTCATCCAAATCCAAATCTTCGAGCAGAGCCTCTGGAGCTCAACAACAACATCCTTCTGCTCTTGCATCGGAACTCATTGCCCATGAACTAGCCATGATGCAGTTTCTTGGTGGAGGATCTATGGACAGGAACAACAAACGTTTCATGGAGGAGCAGCAGCAGGCCGCTTCTTTGAACGTACGAAAGTCGAAACCTGCGCCCGAGCCCCTCCCACTAGGCAAACCGTTGCGGGACGCAAACGGGAATACCTGGTGGGGCCAGAATGATCCTTCTTCCGCGATGGAATACAAGGCACAGGCCCCCGCAATGCGTCTCTCTTTCGATGCGAACGTTAATCATTCTCGGACGACCGGGCAGATGCGGAGAGGATCTGCAGCGTCTGGTATACCATCACCGTTATCTACAACCCACGTCATCCCTGCTTCTGCGATGCCAGGAGACTATCACCACCACCATCACCATAATCCTTATACCAGCGTGCACTCGGAAGGCCAGCGAAGGCATAGGTCCGGATCCAGTTCGCTGACTCCTAGTCCTTCGTCTTCGACATTCAACGACTCGGAGTCGTACTTGACCTATGCGCCTGCGGAGCCCCAATTTGCCGGGCACGATGTCAGTGCGTCCAGAAAGGCGGCGAAGGGGATGAATTTGAGAGGGAGGGCGAGAGCTTTGTTCGGGGGTCATTGATTGACCTTTTTTGAAGTAGATGTATTTTATACCCTCGTTTTTATCTCTCTTCATAGCTGTGCTCTGTATTCTGAAGCGATACCCTTCCCCTCGTTTTATTCGTTTTATGTGTGTTGTAATCTATCTTCTGTATTCGTTAAAATGTATTTGATATCACTAAACTTCATCATTGTGGGGGTATAGCTCAGCTGGGAGAGCAGCAGACTGAAGTTCCCACTCAAATGCAGATACTTTTCTGAAGGTCCCGCGTTCGATCCGCGGTACCCCCACTGGTGCATTCACGCTGTAGTTTTTTCTACTGCAATTATACTTATCGGTCGAGGCTTTGTTTTTCTTGTTGGCCACTTGATTTTTCTAACTAATTGAATGCTAACTAATACCTCAACTTTTATAAGTACTACTTACTACGTACGGTACTTGGAAATTGTTCACTGGAAAAGGTCACGTGTCACCGCTCGCGGTTAATCTCGGTAAAATTTATTTTCGTTCTTTCTTTCTTCACGCACTCAAACTCAAAATTCTACCTGTTCTACCAGTCCCTGATGTTGCATGAGAGCCTTGGACTGGACAAGAGGCTTCAAGAACTCACCCAACGTGTACCGGTGGTTAGACTCGGTTAATCTCGGTAATACTAATATATGCCGACTGCTCTATTTATTCGACTTGACCGTTTCATCGGAACAGTATAAAACGTAGAAAGCTTTTCTTCGTTATCAACCTACAATCGTTCTTACTTTCATCGATATGCAGAGCCATTTTCTGCTGCTCGTTGCATCGCTACTCGTAACTCTCGCGATCTATCATCTTATCAAGGCTGCTCGATGGTTTTCCTCGGTTCTGGCACGCCCATTAAGCTTCGCGGTCCACCCAATCCTAGCTTTTTATTTGGGAACCTGAAAGAGACTTGGTTTAGTGCAAGTCTTCTCCATTGCAGGTTGTATATTCCGCTACTGATGTTATGCTTTTATGCTACAGACTACCCCCATCGGCGAACCTAATCTTCAAGAGAAATGGCATGAGAGGTATGGTCATACTATCTCTACAAGATCAGGTTTTGGGGTGAGTTAACGTCCGTCAAACGCGGATCAGTGAGTGGGCATCGCTAATGTTGTGGGGTGTCTTTAGGCTCAGCGAATCGTCACGACGGACGCCAAGGCCATTCAACATATTATGAGAAACGAACACATCTACGGAAAACCACAAGGTAATCTGCGGATACTCAAACTGATCCTTGGAGAAGGCAAGTACATGCTGTAAGAATGATGTTCATACAGCTTTCTAAAATGCCGATGTACCACAGGCTCTGGTTCCGGTATCTTCGTCGCTGAAGGAGAGAAGCACAAGCTGCAGGTGACAGCCTCCCTTCTTCTTTCGTGTGCAAAGCTTCCTGACACACATCTTCTGAACAGCGTAAAGTAATGGTATAGCATATCAATGAATTCTAATATACGCCCATGCTAATCGCCTCTTAGAACCCAGCTTTTGCGGCCAACCAAATTCGTGAATTGACTGGAACGTTTTTTGAGAAATCGTTTGAAGTAGGCACATGTTTCATTCTACAAAGAAACGCGTATTAATAACGATGGCTCTGCCAGCTACGTGATATTTGGGCAGCTAAAATCACCTCTGCTAGCGGTGTGGGAGAAATAGATTCAGTTGATTGGCTCAGCAAGACAACGTTGGATGTTATTGGCTTGACTGGTTCGTTAAACCTCGAACCGCACTTTATTGAGTGACTCATCTGCGTTCGTCCACACAGGATTCAACTACCACTTCAATGCTCTAAACGATACAGGCAAAGTGAACGAGTTGAACAAAGCGTTTTCTGCCATTTTCGGCTCCTCCGATATGACGAGTGTGTGGATACCTCTACAGGCACAACTTCCCAAAGCCATCAAACCACTACTTATGGCTGTCAGTTGTTGAATAACTCATTTTCGTCTGTATGTGGCTTACTATTTCGCTATCTAGTTTGCGCGGACCTCAGGAGCTATGGCGGGTAAGTCCAGCTTTTAACTCTCTCCTAGATTCATATTCATCCCAATGTCTATAGCAATGAAATCGTCAGCAGAAATCATGCAACGTACAGGGAAAGAATTGTTAGCCGAAAGCAAAGCATACTTGGCTGGCACCGGCGAAAAAAACGACAACTGGGGTGCTCGAGACTTGCTTTCGCTACTCCTGAAGTCTAATATGAGTACCGACATCCCCGAAGATGAAAGGATGAGTGATGCGGATGTTATTGCGCGTACGTTGGTATCTCCATGACTCGTCGAACTGTCTAACGTCTTTCTAGAGGTGCCCACCTTCCTTATCGCTGGCCATGAAACTACCAGGTAAGCTTTCGAAAATTATCAAGATACGCTCCCTAACTATCAGGCTTCTGGGCTCAGCGTATCAACTACTTGGGCTTTGTTTTCACTTAGTCGCCATCAAGAGATCCAAACCAAACTTCGGGAAGAACTCCTCAGCGTACCCACGGAGAAACCCAGTATGGACGTGCTCAACGAGCTTCCTTACCTCGATGCATTCGTTCGCGAGACGTTGCGTCTTTACACTCCCCTGACCAATGTCGCACGAATTGCACTACAGGATGATATAATTCCTCTTGCCCATCCAATCACAGATAGTGATGGAGTGGTTCATGATAGTCTCCCGTAAGTGCAATTTTTGCAATCTAAAAATCATATACATACATACTCATCTTCCTGGTAACTAGTGTTCGCAAAGATCAACCTTTAATCATTGCAGTCCTCGGGGTCAATACGGACAAAACGTTATGGGGATCGGACGCATATGAATTTAGGTCAGTATATTGAAATCTCTTTCTCTAGCCTTTCGAGCTCAACATTTCCTCAGACCCGATCGTTGGCTCAAAATTCCAGATGATGTTCATACCATACCCGGTGTTTGGAGCAACTTGATGACATTCTGGGGCGGCTCGCGGGCTTGCATTGGCTGGCGCTTCTCAATCATTGAGTACGAGCTGTCTATTCTTTTGTACGGTCTGGAGATCGACTTACATTTTCTTTAGGATGAAGGCGCTTCTGTTTACATTGGTTCGCAGTTTTGAATTCGAACTAGCGGTTCCGGTCGAGGAAATAATACTGCACAGAGTGGCGTCAATGCAAAGGCCCTCATTGAGCTCTGATGATTCTCGTGCTAAATTGCCTCTACTCATTAAACCGCTTAAGAGTTAAAGATAGTGTTCCTAAACATCGCTTTGACATCCACAATCGATATTTCCCCTTTTCATCCGTGATTCAAAAAGTTGTCAAGGGTTGTATCACAGCGACCATTCAACTGACAAGTTCCGAGAAGTGATAAGATACGAAACACCGCATTACAGGTATTGTTTGTTAAGACATACTTGGCTAGGTACCAATATGTTTGCTTCCATTGTCATGCGAAAACATCAAAGCTTGGTCCATTTCACTTCATGTCGTCCAACAGCATACAATCCCTGCCCACAGAATATTCCTTTGTGGTCCTTGCTCTGGATCCTGTAGCCACAGTTTCTAACTTGAAGAATGAAGAACTCACGGCAGCGTGCCGGCGACTACCGAGGAAAAGATATGTCGCGTTTGTAGGAGATGTGCGTATTTTACCTGTTTCGAAATTGAGCACTACAGACTCAACAAATTCCTCTGTAGCGACAACAACTTTTCTTCATGCCCTGGGAGCCATACCATTCCTGGACATTCTATCCCGTCTATAGAGGGGTTCGAGAAGAAAACCAAAGAAAAGGAATCGAGCCCCAAATGTCCGTGCCAATTCTCCCCAACAGGACACATCCTTTATCTCGCGAGCCACTGGATCCAGGCTATCCACTCCCGTGGAACGAATGCTACATTTCGGATTTTATTCAGTTCGATGCTCGTGTGGCCACGAATGAGACGGAGGAAGAACCGGTGTGCTGGGCTACTTCGGAAGAGGCGGCTCGGATCCAGGATTATTTCGGCGAGGATATCCAGCGCAGGTGGCAACTAAAACCACAAATTTTCGCCATTAGAGCTATGAGAGGAGATGAAGGGTCATCAGAATCCAGTGACACGGAGTCGGAAGTGCCTTGGAGATCCAGAGACGACTTTGATCCAGTGGGCGAAGAAAACGAAAGACAAAGCGAAGGTTCCGAACCCAGGGCAGCGGAGGAAAATAACACGAGGATCATGCTGGGGGAGCTGACTAGTCGGCCACATAGCAGTCTCGTCGTTGTCGAGGTGACCTTCGATCTATCGTCCACAGATCAAATACATCACCCAAGCGACTTTTTTGAAGAAGTAAGATATTTGAAAAAGTGAGTCAGTCTTCTTTTGGTGAGCGCAAGGGTGAGTGTTGAGGTTTTTGATTTGCTATAGGCTTACAATCGAGATGGAAAATGCACGCCGACTGCGAGAGGTCGAGAATGCTCAACAGATCAGCAAAGAGCTCTGTGTTACCTTGCAGAGATCAGAAAGCAAACCTCAAAGACCTCGTAAGGGTATTCACCTATTCTATCCCCTGCGAACGAGTCTGAGAGATAGTCCAGTTGGTTATGCACGAAGATTGCACAAGAAAATTATGACTCGGATGAAAAACTCTTGAAAATTGCACAGCTACAGCATCTAAAGTACACAAGAATCTCGTCAGCGTTAACTTCGTGAATGAAAAGAATAAAAAGATACCGATGCAAAAAGATCCCTTTGGGGCTTAATCAGTGTTATAGAGGTCTGGAAAGCTCTCAGTGCACTGGTAACTTTGGTTTGGGAACTCCAGATACATGATATCGATGAATATATTGTAAGTCTGACCTGCACAATTCTCATCTCTGGCTAATGAAATTGAATAGACTGAACTCGAGAAGACAATCGACTACTTCCTTGACTGTGTCGACTCACACCACGATCGTTCAACAAACCAAAATTTCATGTACTCCTTCATCTTCCAAGCCATATCCGTCGGTTTGGAACTGCCATGCTCTTTGCAACGGAAAGTTTTGAATCTTACAATGCTATTATACGTGCCAGGAGCATACACAGCAATCGACATGCACCTTCGAAGGACATTGCACATAGTATGGCACGCAGTAATCGTGTTCGTCACTTACTCAATGGTGGGGCTTTCTGGATCAAATCGGCCGTCGATACAGATTCCTCAAACTCGACTCCATTGGATCCCGCATCAAATCACAGAATTCTGAGAACATAAACTCGGCATTCATTTCATTCATGCACTCGTAACATGCCGACTGCTCTATTTATTCAACTTGGCCGTTTCATCGAACAGTATA